GTGAAATTTGTAGTTTAGAGTTGGGATTTAAGTGAAAAATGGAGTTTGAAGGGTGAGAAATAGGAGTAGTATGAAGTATGGAGTATGGAGGAGGAAGGAGTGTTTGAGTGTGAAAGAGGAGTGAGAATTGTGAGTATGGGGGGGGGGGCTTTGCTATTATAATTTTTTTATTTTATTTTATTTTTTTTAGTAGTAGAAACCGTCATAATGCTGTGCAGGTTGAATCTGCATGGACGTGCAGATTTTGGCACGGACGTGCAGTTTCCTGGAAGAATGGCAATCTGTTCTGTCTTCGAGTGCACGGACGTGCAGTGGTTGGCACGGACGTGCCGATTTTTGGCACGGACGTGCCGATTTTTGGCACGGACGTGCTTATTTTTGGCACGGACGTGCGAAGCTTCAGATTTCACCAGTCAGGTTCTGCCTTCGTCTGCACGGACGTGCAATGTTCTGCACGTCCGTGCATACCTGATGGTGCACGATTTCTTCTTATTTCCCCTTTTTTTTCTTTTTTTTTTCTTTATAGATACCTACAAAACAAAAAAAATATATATAAATAAAAGAAAAAAAAGGGGTAATAATAATAAAAATAAAACAAATGAAATAATAATAATTGAGGGGGAGTGAGGAACTCGGGTTGCCTCCCGGTAGCGCTTCTTTAACGTCACTAGCTTGACGACATTGCGGGATCAAATGTTAGTGAGGAATATCGAACTCATCAAGGTGAACAACTTTTACCTCTTCATTCACAAAACCGTCAAAGTACGCTTTTAGCCTTTGGCCATTTACTTTGAACGGTTCACCATTCTCTTTGGCAATTTCGATTGCACCATATGGGAACACCCTCTTGACGGTAAAAGGTCCACTCCATCTTGATTTTAGCTTACCCGGAAACAAATTCAACCGGGAATTGAATAGTAGGACCTTGTCACCTTCCTTGAACTCTCTTTTGTTGATATGCTTGTCATGCCAAGCCTTGGTCTTTTCCTTGTAGATCCGTGCATTCTCATATGCATCCAATCTTAGCTCTTCCAAGGCATGGAGGTCAAGTAACCTCTTTTCACCGGCACTTTGAAGGTCAAAGTTCAACGTTTTAATAGCCCAATGAGCACGATGCTCAAGTTCTACCGATAAATGGCATGATTTCCCATATACTAGCTTGTAAGGGGTGGTGCCAATGGGAGTCTTGAATGCGGTGTGATAGGCCCATAGAGCATCATCTAGCTTCGTAGACCAATCCTTTCTAGACCTATCCACCGTCTTCTCTAAGATAACCTTTATCTCCCGGTTTGAAATTTCGGCTTGACCACTTGTTTGAGGGTGGTAAACCAATGACACCTTGTGCCTCACACCGTACTTCTGAAGAAGAGCTTGGAAGGACCGCTTTGCAAAATGCGAACCTCCATCACTAATGACGGCACGTGGCACCCCAAACCTGGGAAAAATGACCTTCTTGAAGAGTTTGACCACCACCTTAGCATCATTAGTAGGAGATGCAACCGCTTCTACCCACTTTGACACGTAATCGACGACCACAAGAATGAATTTATTCCCAAAAGAGGTTGGGAAAGGCCCCATAAAATCTATGCCCCATACATCAAAAATCTCCAACTCAAGAATGTTGTTCAATGGCATTTCACTTCTTCTTGAAATATTGTCGGTTCTTTGACACCGGTCGCAAGCTTTCACTACACCCCACACATCTTTGAACATGGAAGGCCAATAGAAACCACATTGTAAGATCTTTGCCAAAGTTTTGTTAGCACTCATATGTCCTCCACAAGGTGATGAGTGACACATTGTGATAACACTTTCAATTTCATCATCCGGGACACACCTTCTAAAAAGGCCATCAACACTAGCAAGGGGTCGTCCCAAAAGTATTGGCGAATATCATGAAGAAACTTCCTTTTTTGTTGATAGGTGAGGTCGGGAGGAAGAACAGAGCAAGATAAGTAGTTTGCAATGTCCGCAAACCATGGTGCCGGTACTTGAAGGATAGCAAATAGTCGATCATCCGAAAATGAATCATCAATTGGCAAGTTATCAAGATCACCTACAAAGATAGGCAACCGTGAAAGATGATCGGCCACAACATTTTCGGCACCCTTCTTGTCTCTAATCTCAATATCATAATCTTGCAAGAGCAAGACCCACCGTATCAATCTTGGCTTAGGTTCCTTCTTAGACAAGAGGTACTTCAAGGCCGCATGGTCGGTGAAAACTATGACCTTAGAGCCCAACAAGTAGGACCTAAACTTCTCAATTGCATGAACAATGGCTAGAAACTCCTTTTCCGTGGTTGTGTAATTCCTTTGTGCCTCATCCAATGTTTTGCTAGTATAATAGATAGCATGGAGCTTCTTATCCTTCCTTCGTCCAAGAACAGACCCAACGGCGAAATCCGAAGCATCACACATAAGCTCGAAAGGAAGTTCCCAATTAGGGGGTTGAATTATAGGAGCCGAAATCAAGGCCTCCTTCAACCTATCAAATGCTAGCAAACAATCATTAGTAAACACAAAAGGGGCATCTTTTACCAACAATTGAGTGAGCGGCTTTGCGATTTTTGAAAAATCCTTTATGAACCGGCGGTAAAAACCCGCATGTCCAAGAAAGCTCCTTATCCCCTTCACATTTGTAGGGGGTGGGAGGCACTCAATTACTTCAATCTTGGCACGATCTACCTCAATGCCCCTACTAGAAATCACATGACCAAGACCAATTCCCTCCTCTACCATGAAATGACATTTCTCCCAATTCAAAACTAAGTTCACCTCTTGACATCTTTTTAAGTCTTTAATCAAGTTTGAAAGACAAGTGTCAAAAGATGAACTAAAAACAGAAAAGTCATCCATGAATACCTCAATTGATGATTCAAGCATGTCGGAAAAAATAGACATCATACACCTTTGAAATGTGGAAGGTGCATTACAAAGCCCAAATGACATTCTTCGATATGCAAAGGTGCCAAAAGGACATGTGAATGTAGTCTTTTCTTGGTCCTCGGGGTGGATTGGAATTTGAAAGAATCCCGAGTATCCATCCAAGAAGCAGTAATGACTATGTGATGCTAGTCTTTCCAAAATTTGATCAATGAAGGGGAGTGGGAAGTGGTCTTTCCGGGTGGATTTATTCAATTTTCGATAATCAATGCACATCCTCCACCCGGTGACCGACCTCGTAGAAATGGTCTCACCCTTATCATTTTTTATGATGGTCATGCCTCCCTTTTTAGGCACAACTTGAACCGGGCTAACCCACTTACTATCAGAGATAGGGTAGATTATGCCCGCCTCAAGAAGTTTTAAAACTTCCTTTTTTACCACTTCCTTCATATTGGGATTGAGCCTTCTTTGGTGCTCAATCGAGGAAGCATGATCATCATCAAGTAGAATTTTATGCATGCATATGGTGGGACTTATCCCCTTAATGTCATCAATTTTGTACCCAATGACATCTCTATACTTCCTTAAAACAACTAGGAGTTTCTCAAGAGAGGTGTCATCGAACTTAGCATTGACAATAACGGGATAATTCTCACTATCATCAAGAAAAGCATATTTAAGTAGAGGGGGAAGGGGTTTAAGTTCAACCTTAGGAGGAGGCGTAGTCCTCTCCTCTTTTGCCTCCACGTTAAGCACTTCAAATTTTATCACCTCGTGGGCCAAAGGTTGGTTGAGCAAGAGATCATACCCCTTTGCTTCTTCACCCTCCTCAACTAAGCTTCCCTTTAAGGTAGCTTGTAAAGGATCTCTTTCATACAATCTTTCTCGGAACTCTTCTAAGTCCCTCTCCAATGTGTCAATTCTATGAACTTCATCAATCAATGGCTTTTTTAAAGTTTGTGAGAATGAAAATGAAATTTTCTCATCTCCCACATTCAAAGTCAATCTTCCTTCCTTCATATCAATCACCACTCCCGCGGTGTTCAAAAATGGTCTCCCAAATATGAGGGGTACTCTTGAATCTTCTTCCATCTCCATTACTACAAAATCACATGGCACAAATACTCTTCCAACTTGAACCGGCACATTTTCAAGAATCCCCAAAGGTAGCCTAACCGTGCGGTCGGCTAGTTGTAAGGACATTCTTGTTGGTTTCAAGTCTCCAACTTTCAAGGTCTTTGCAATAGAATAGGGCATCAAGCTCACACTTGCCCCAAGATCACATAAAGCATCCATAGCTTCCAAATCTCCAATCTTCACCGGTATTGCATAGCTACCGGGGTCACCAAGCTTTTGGGGAAGCTTGTTTTGAATGATTGCACTCACCTCCTTAGGAAGGGAGATGGTTGCACTCTCTTCAAGCCTACTCTCGTTGGATAGAAGATCCTTCAAAAATTTTGCATAGGTAGGCATTTGTGACATAGCATGAAGAAAGGGGATGTTCACTTGAAGTCCTCTCATGACTTCAAGAAATTTTGAAAACTTCTCATTCAACTTCTTCTCTACAATTCTATGAGGAAACGGAATGGGGGGCTTATATACTCTCATAGGGGGCTTTTCTATTCTTTCTTCATCTCCCTCGTCTTTCTTTGTGGCTCCCTCATCACTTTTTTGCTCTTTTCTCTCAACTTCAACTACTTCATTTTCAAAATCATCCTCACTTCTCACCACAACTCCCTCATCTCTCTTTTGTGGCTCCTCTTCACTCATAACCGGGCCCTCATAACCCCTTCCCGATCTCAAAATGATAGCCTTAGCTTGCTCCTTTGGGTTCACTACCGTTGAGCTTGGAAAGTGACCACTAGGATTGGAGGATGAACTTCCAACTTGTTGTGCAATTTGAGCCAATTGGCCCTCCATTATCTTATTATGTGCTTGAAGTTGTTGGATGTTTGCATTCATCTCCGCATTGTTCCTTATTTGTTGAGTCATGAAAGTTTCAAGAACGGACTCAAGGCTAGTCTTTTGAGGAGGTGGAGGAGGAGGAGCGGGTTGGTTATATTGTGGTCTTTGGTGGTTTTGATCCCTTTGGTTGGGATGGCGGTATGGAGCTTATTGGTTTTGTGATTGAGGTTGGTTGTAGTGGTTTTGAGGTTGGGTTTGATTTTGGTTGTAGTTATTTTGTGGGGGGCCTTGGTTGCATTGCTTCCATCCCGTGTTATGTTGGGGCTTCCAACTTTGATTGTGGGATTGGGAGTATTGTTCATTCCTTTGCCCAATTGCCGCCGCTTGCTCTTGATTCGTTGAGTTGCAATAAGAGGACAAGTGATCATTTCCTCCACAAGTCTCACAAGACATGACTTGCGAGGAAGAGCTTGAGGGTGTGAGGGTGGCTTGATCTAGCTTGTGAGCTAGCATATCAAACTTTGATGCAATAAGATCTATTGCACTAAGATCATGAATTCCGCCCTTCTTTGTTTGAGGTTGCCTTCTATCACCTCCATATGCATAATGCTTGGCCACTTCTTCAATCATCTTGTATGCATCGTCCACTGATAGCTTTTTGAGGCTACCACTGGCCCCGGAATCAAGGTTGGCCCTTGAAATAGGAGTAAGTCCGTCATAGAAGCTTTGTACAATGATCCATGATGTAAAACCATGGTGGGGGCATTTCCTTGTGTAATCTTTGAAACGCTCCCAAGCTTCACTCAATGTTTCATCAATGTCTTGATTGAAATTGGTGATCTTTCTTCTTAATTCGACGGTCTTTTCCGGAGGACAATACTTTCCAAGAAAGGCTCTAGTGACTTCGTCCCATGTACTTAATGATCCCTCTTCAACCGTTCTCAACCAATGTTTTGCTTTATCACGGAGGGAGAATTGAAACATGTGCATACTGATGAACTCCTCCGAAATGTTGTTTTGCTTGATGGTTGTACACAACTCAAGAAAGTTGTCCAAATGAGCAAAAGGACACTCATGAGGACTACCTCCGAATTGATCGCTTTGAATCATACGGATGAGTTGAGGTGAAAGTTCAAAGTTGTTTGCATTTGTGGTGGGAAGACGTATGTCACTCCGAAGTTGGAATGCGTTGGGGTGGTCATAGTCTCTTAACAATGGTTGAGGAGGATTCTCTCCCATGTTATCTTCTTCGTTAGTTCCAAAAACCTCTTCCGGATCGGAATCCGAATATACAATGGAAAACTCGGGTGTGCCTTGCAAGAGTTTAATTCCAAGATAATAATTGAGAACTAACTAATGATTTGAGAATTTAATGTTCTAAGACTACAAACTAAGAGGAAAGCTCTAAAAAACTGCATACCCCCCTCAAATGAGCTCTAAAGGGGTATTTATATGACCCCCAAATAAAAAGGACGGAGAAAACAAGGAAGGAGTTCGACTACAAGTCTGCACGGACGTGCCAAATTCGGCACGGACGTGCAAGCATAAGCACGGTCGTGCCAGATTCGGCACAGACGTGCAGAGGGGGCAGAATTGAGGCAGAACGTACTGCTAAGAATCGAGCAGTTCTGCACGGACGTGCAGATATTGGCACGGACGTGCAGCTACATCTGCACGGACGTGCTTAGTTTGGCACGTCCGTGCAGGCCTTGGCAGAATGTTCTGAGTTTCTGGAGCACTCTTGCACGGACGTGCAAGGTCTGGCACGGCCGTGCACCCTCTTCTGCACGGACGTGCCAGATTAAGCACGGTCGTGCAGGCCTTGGCAGCTTGCTAAAACTTTCTGGAACCTCCTGCACGGACGTGCAAGGTCTGGCACGGCCGTGCAGGGTCTTCTAAGCCCTTTTTTTTCATCTTTTCTTCTATATTGCTCCTTTCCTTGGCTTCTTTCATCCATCTTCTTGCTTCTAACCTCGGCTTTGTATCCATGGGCTCCATTTGGTCGTTCTTTTGAACCTAGAATCTCAACAAAAACACCTACAACCCGTGAAGCATAGGATACACAAAAATTGCATAATAATAGAGTAAAAATGAACCAAAACGCAATTTTTATCAAGTAAACTAGGTTCAAAACACCCTAAAATCATATCAAATAGCAAGTTATCAATGCTATGCATCCCTAGGATTATTGGATCTTCAAACTTTTGATTGTATTATATACAAATCTTCTTTCATGAACAATTTCAATAAAGTGTTTTGAAGTCCATCTACCAAATCTTATAAGGTAGTAATCACTAAAATATCTTTAATAGATCTTTGCAACATGACTAATGTAAAGTTTTCATCGTAGTCATAGTCATACTATGAATTAGTTGAATCCTTTAATAAGTCTTTGCTTTAGTTAGAAAACATTTTTCTTTCTTGTCTGTTTTGCTTATAATGGGTCTCATCCAATTAGGCAAATTATTCAAGTGTCATACAATTGCTTACAGATTTAGAATCTATTTCAGATTTCCTGGTTTTTAAACCATTTGGAGTCATTACTTGTCAAATCATCTTTGTTACTTGCATAATCATCATGTTCCAAAATGAATATTTTAGAACTCTTAATCAATATGAAATCATATTTCTTTGGATAATTTTTACATATGCTAGTCATCATTGTGGGTTTTGATGCAACAATTGAAACTTATACAACAACTTTGTTTAGTTTTCAATGAGAAACGACAATAGAGGATGTGCACTTGGAATGTACTACCTTCGACACATGGTTATTATTCCTATTACACTTAATGAGACCACGCGTTGTCATTTGTAACATGAGGTGAATCATGCTCATATTGTTGCTTTTATTCGATTACTTCTCAAATTTCTTCAAGATTTTAGAAATCACTTTTCTTGAACTCTTTCAAGGCTCTCGAACTTTTCGAGATTCTTATACTCCCACTTACCTTTTTGAGGAGGCACATTTAGCATAGGGTGAACCAACCATGGTTTGAGCCATGTTTTTTTTGTTGCTTTTCTCGAACTCTTTTCGAGATTTATACTACTCCCACTTGACCTTTTGGAACAATTTCCATAAGGGCACCTACTTGAGCAACAAACATTTTGTGCTAAGTATGATTTGTGTAGTAGTACCCCGTGCTCTGTATAGGAATTGATCGTGCATTAAACGATTTAATACAACTTTTATTCCTTGCTTTGTAGAAAGACTTTATAAGAACTCTTCTTATCCATATCACATATGAAACCTTTGCTACAATTGATTTGACTTATGTATCTTTGTTTAGTTTTGTAGCTTATCTTAAAAGTATATCCCCTGAATAATGGTTGGAAGATAGGTAATTTTATCCATTATCAAAATATATCTCATATAGATTGATAGCTCCCTTCATAAACACTTCACAAGGTTTTCTTTCGAAGTTTGTCGTAAAACGATTTCACAACTCTTGGATGTTCATCAATTAAGGTCTTGGATTAAATTTTCATTATTACGATCATATCGCAATATTTTGAATGTGTTGCCAAGTAAATGTCTTGACTCAAATTTTCACAATTACAATCATATTGTAATGCAATTATTATCTTGAAGTTGATATTGAACTTCATACTGAACATTTTGAACTTTTCAAAATTTTCACTCTTATGCTTCAACTAAGCACAAGTAGTGATCATATCACAAATGAAGTTTTATTGTGCGTCTCTAGTCTTTGAACCTTTGGTTTTCTTACATCAATATGTATTCGACCTTGAGTTCACATCATCATTTCTCTAAATGGTAATTTTGTCAAAATTTCAAATTAGAATGATAATTACATATATCAATGGATTCATAATCTAATGATATGGAAAGTCCATCCCTTTGGATCTTTCGCATGCAATGTTCATTTTTGTTCGAATTATTTGACATTTTAGAGACAATTCATTTATAGAAATGGTTCAATTATTTCTATCATATAGAACTTTGAACCTGTTTAGCAATTTCAAAACACATTATGACTCAATGAAGCATAGAATAACATTTATTCCACGTTTTTGAATCTTCGATGCTTAGTCATTACTAACATTGAATGGTGTTTTGATAACGGAAAGAATGAATAACATTTATTTAATTCTAGCCAATAACAAGGTAAGGTGAAATATAGGTTCTACTTGTAAAGTTGCAACTTTTGCTTCCAGACTTGTAGATTTTACTTGTGAAGTAACAACATTTGCTTCTAAACTTGTAGATTTATTTCTCCCTTAGCCATACTTCTTCATTTAGTTCAACCTCATTCTCAATAAGAGAGAACTAAACAAGACATCATATGTCCAAGAAGTAGTAGCAATGTGCTAAATCAATTTCTATAATATATTTCTTAAATTGGAACATTTCCATTCTTTTACCTTCTAACTATATGAGGTAGTTTCTAATCAATTGGAATTGGTCCATTTAATTTGAAACATTTGTTGTTCATAACAACTTTTAGCATGTAAGTAGTTCTAGGTTTGAGAAGTAGCAACTTGTTTGCATTTCTTGGCCTATAACTTCTTAATGCAATCCTCATATATTCCTAAACCTTTCTCATTTGAGCCACTTTGAACACTTCTCTTAGGTTCAAAATGATGTTTTGCTTAACTACTTTAAGCTCTTTTCATGATTTTGCTAAGTCTATTCAATTATCATTCATATTAGAGTTTAATCAACTATTTAACTCTTACATAAAATGGATGAAGAATAGCGTCATTTGATCAACTTTTAATCATAGAAATTTCCAATCACTTTCTTATATTCAATCATATTGAAGATAAGAGATTTTATTGGAATTCTATACTTGTCTGTTAGAGGGTTTGTACCTCCCATCTCATTATATCCCTTGAAACACTTTTCAAAATGAAGATGTGTTTGCATTTTACTCAAACATTTTGAATAAAACCATTCTAGACATGTGACATGGATTTCTAAAACTTGCCTTTTAGAACCATCTTAGCAAAATTGGAATATAGGTTTATGGATTATCTTTTAACCTTTTGAGAACGTTTCTCAACTTTATTTTCAATCGAGAGATTATATATAATAATAAAACTAGAACGACATGTTACTTGTGAGTAAACGCAAAATTCAATTATGTTTAATAAAAATTTAAAGTACCATAAGCGATTATAAAACTAGTAACTTTAAAACATTCATTCAATTTAATTGATCCCTATTGAATAGAATGATTCTAAGATCCTTTATTTGTGCAATAATTGACCGGACTTTGGCCCTACCATCAACTATTACATGTTCAAGGTGAGTAAACTCTTTACTGATTACAACTCTTTGTAATTCTTGGTTGAATAATTATCCATCACATGTTTAATTATTACCCTTAGCTTCAAGGTTCTAAACTCGTTAGGTAACCTTGTTGAGTATAACCAATCAAAAGTGTAAAATTTGTTTTACCCCCACTCCCCTAATATATTATATGACACCCTGCTTTGGCATGACCCATCATAAATATCGAAGGTTTCATCGGGTTTTTGATTGGAAAAGCAACCTCAATATTACTAGGACCTAGATTTATTATGTTGTGATTAAATAGTGAACTCTAGCGCATCATCACAAAACATCAATAAAATCTAACATACATAATCTACTAATGCATAAATAAAACATGACATAGTATGGCCCCTTAATCCTAAGAAAACTAATAAAGCAAAAGCTCCCACTTGAACCTTCATGGATCTCATCCATCTTGCTCCTTTGGGCCTTCACTCCATGGATTTCTTGGATTAACTGCAACCTGTAATTTTACTCTATTCTATCTACTACTTAAATAAAATGAAATAAAATTACAAAAATACTTTATCGGTACGTAGACCGTACTAAGATTACAAAAATACATTACGATGCGCAGATCGTATTTAGTAATCTACTGGGTCATACTAGTCATTATATAGCAGTAAATAATATCATATATTATAAAGTGCCACATAATAAATCACTCATCATGCTTTCCTAAACTACAACATCGAATGTTCAAAATTAAGGAAACATGGCACCAAAATATCTCATATTTTAATTAATGCAATTAGATAATATCATATATTATTCATGACTATCAATAAAATATCATATATTCTAAATTAGTCATGAGATAGAATCAAATCTTATTTTAATCTTAAAAGATATATCATATTTATCCTCAAAGATTAACCTAACAATGTTAGGAAATTCTATCCTAATTACTAGCCAATCAAAAAAATTTAAATCAATT